CATCTAAGACCCAGAATAAAACCATACCCACCGTGAATGGGAAGGGGCATGGAGTGGAGACACAATGCCCATCTGTAGACAATTGGACATCCCCTCACAGAGTGGTCACAGGAAAGAGATGAGCCAGAGTGCAGTATAGCACCGATGAAACAACTTTCCTCTAGTTCTCTGGTGCTTCCTTCACCCGACTATCATGCCCTCAATTCTACCTTACAAGTTAGATTAGGCCAGAGCATGCACACTGCTACAGATAAGAGCCCAAAACACAGGGAATCCAGGATAGATAAACCCCTCAGGGCCAACAAGGAGAGTAGAGATGCCAGGAGGATTAGGGGAGGGTGGGGGGACAAAGGGGAATTGATCACAAGGATCAATCTAGAGCCCCCTCCCAGGGGGACGAATAAGTGGGTGAGGGGCGACAGAGGGCTATGGAAGATATGGAAATAATAATCTGTAACTTATCAAGGGTTCATAAGGGAGGATGGGCGGGGGAGGGAGGGGGAAGAAATGGGGAGCTGATATTAGGGGCTTAAATGGGAAGAGAATGCTTTAAAAATGATGGCAGCATATGTGCAAATGTACTTGACACATTGGAGGAATTTATGGATTGTGATCAGAGATGTAAGAGCCCCCAATAAAAGTATTTAAAAAAATTAAAAATAGACTGGCAGATGCAGGGAAGCTAATTAGCAAAGAGCTAGTTTCCTTCATGTTGATAAGGAAAACATAATAAAAGATCTTGTAACAGATCCCACTTTAATGGTAAGAAAAACCATCACCTGTTTCTTCTTCATGCCACTCACAGGGGTTAAGAGGGGCCTACTTGTTCAGAGTTAAGACTCTCTACTTTTTTTTTTTGTCTCAAAGACCGTTGTCAAGAGGGAACCTGAAACAGCTAGCTCTCCCTACAAGCTTACCATGACGATCGCCTTTAGATCCACCAGGACTAATCTCATGATGCCCTTCCCTTCTTTTGACCATAATGAACTGTGCTTCTACCTAAAGATAGTTCCTACATCTGGGAACTTGATCCAATCAATACCCTCATTGCAAATATTATTCCAGCAATTCTCTCCTCTCCTCTATTAAATCTATTTTCCTCTCACTGATGGGCAAAGCCCACCAGCAAAGGGACACTCTCTGCTCTTGATTCCACTTCCCATGCTGGTTTCTACTCTGCTTTACTCTCCTTTGCACTAGAACGCCTCACCGTGTAATTCCTCTCCTCCCCCTCTTCCTTTCTCTCACATCAGGTTTTCACGGAGCCAATCCCAACATGGTAACCCCATGTGTCTGGAGAAGTGCTTACAGGGGGTCTGAGGCCTTGTGAAGGCAGATGGCCCCTGGGTAGGTTTGAACTGCCAACTTTTAAGCTAGTGGTCAAGCACTTATCCATTTGACCCATCCAGTGAGACTCCGATACTCCTTGAAAACTGCTGGTCACGCTTGGTCACTAATGAACTCCAGGTTGCTAAATCCAAATGCCCAATTCTCAGTTGTCATTTGACTTCACTAGCAGTAGCATCTGACAAGAGCCCTTCTGTTTTCAGCACACCGCTTTCTCTTGGTGTCTGCATCACCACATTCTTGTTTTTCCTTCTCCCCAGGCTCTTGCTGATTGCCCGTTTTCTTCCTGATTTCTTTACACAGGGCTCACCACTGAGTTCAGTCCTTGCTCTGCTCATTTCTCATCTTTTCTCATTTCCTTTGTATGTTACCTAATCCCAATGTTTAAGTACATCTTAACATACACTTCGTCTTGCTGACGAAGATCAGGGACTGCAGCCTTCAGCATGGATTTAAACTCAATGTAAACTCACTGTCATCGGGTCCATGCCAACTCATAAGGACCCTAAAGGGCAGGGTAAAACGAGGCCTGTCAGTTGCTGAGACTATAACTCTTTATGGGAGTAGAAAGCCTCATCTTTTTATCACGGAGCAACTAGTGGTTTCAAATTGTTGATCTTACAGTTTTTGCCCCAAAGCATAACCACTATACCACCAGGGCTCCTAACTCACTGTAAATAAAACCAAAATCCCCACAACTGGATCAACAGACAACATCATGATAAATGGAGAAAAGGTCCAACTTGTCAAGGATTTCACCTTGCTTGGATCCACAATCAGTGCCAGGGGCCCTCAAACTTGTTAAACAGGGGGCCAGTTGACTGTCCCTCAGACGCGTTGGAGGGCCGGACTATAGTTTTAAAAAAAACTATGAACAAATTCCTATGCACACTGCATATATCTTATTTTGAAGTGAAAAACAAAGCAGGGCAAAAACACCCGGCGGGCCGCATGTGGCCCGTGGGCCGTAGTTTGAGGACCCCTGATCAATGCTCATGGAAGCAGCAGTCAAGAAATCAAACAACCCATTGTATTGGGTAAACCTGCTGCACAAAACCTTGTTAAAGATGAAGGATGCAATTTTAAGGACTAAGGTGTGCCCGACCCAAGCCATGGTATTTTCAGTGGCCTCATATGCACGTGGGAGTTGTACAACGACTAAGGAAGACCAGAGAAGACTCTGCATATGAACTATGGTGCTCGTGAAGAACACTGACAGTATTGTGGACTGCCAGAAGAACAAACCAATCTGTCTTGGAAGAGGAACAACCAGGATGCTCCTTAGAAGCAAGGATGGCAAGACTTTGTCTCAGGTACCTTGGACGTGTCATCAGGAGAGCTCAGTCGCTGCTGTTCGAGGGGAAAGAGGCAGGCCCTCAACGAGATGAAGTGACAGCGGTCCCAACAGCTGGCTTAGGCATAACCACTGCTGCGAGGATCGCACAGGACGGGCAGTACTTCACCCTTCCGCACACAGGGCTGCTATGGACTGGGGCTGACTCAACAGACCTAACTGCAACACATGGAGATGAGGCCCAGCCGTTTCTCCTGCTTGTCACTGCCCACTCATTTCCACGTGGACGCCGAGTGGACATCTCGCTATGTCCAAAACAGCTTAAAATGGACAAATAAAACCCATTTTGTGAAAATGTAATTATATGTGGCAAAATGCACCCATTTAAGTATATATTTTGATGAGCTTTGATAAATTTATATATCCAGAGTATCAAGATATGGAAGATTTTCATCACCCCAGAGCCAAAACTGAATTTTTAATCATCACCTTAAAACCTGTTTTTCCCACACACTTTCCCAATTTCAGTTAATGGCAACCTGGCCAGTTGCTCAGCGGCGCACCTGTAGACAGCCTTCCTAGCCACAACTACATCACAAATCTACACTCACACGTATTTATCAGGCAAAATTAATGAACTGTGCAACACCAGGTCTGCCAAAGAACTGATGCCTTTGCGTTGCAGTGCGGTGAAGAAATCCTGAGAGCAGCAGGGCCTGCCGGGTGAACCAGCAGATGTGTCCTGGAAGGGACTCGACCAGCTGAAAAGTGAGGGTGGCAAGCTTCATTCACCTCATGTACCTCCAAGCCCAGGAGCGACCGGCCCCAGGGAGAGGACTTCCTGCTTGGGAAAGTGGAGGGGCAGCAAAAAGAGGGCGATGCCTCGGTGCGGTGCACCGACAGAGTTGCTGCAGCACGAGTTTACCCAGCAACTGTGGGGATGGCACTGGACTGGGCAGTGCTCTGCTCTACTGCACACAGGGTCACTACGAGTCAGAACGGGCTCAATAGCGCCAGCCCACCACAACACACGGAGAAAATTACATAACCAGAGTAAAGATGTCAGCATCAATGATCAGAGTAGGTACCTTGGGGAGTGAAGTTTTGCTTTGCTTTGTTTTCCTTGTGAGGTACAATGGAAAACACATTGGGTTTCACAGACTGGAGGGCTTAACCTAGTAAAAATGTTATTTTTCACCCCAAATTGATATGCAGGGTTTAACGCAATTTCTAGCAAAATCTTAACAAGATTAAAAATGCATACATATAGACAAGATGGCTCTACAACACGTAGGAAAAGACAAAGGGACTAAAAGAGGCAGTATACCTGAGAAAGAAGAATATGTTTCAGCAGACACCTGGTGGTGCGGTGGGTTAAGCAATGGGCTTTTGCCAAAGGTTGGCAGCTCAAAAGCACAAGCCACGCTGCAGGAGCACGATGGAGCTGCCTGCCTCCATAGAGATTTGCAGTCCTGGTGAGCTTGCGGGGCAGACCGCTCTGCGTCAGGAGCTGGGGGTGAGTCAAACGTGACGTGACGGCAGTGGGCAGGTGGGTGATCATCTTCAAGACTGCATAGTGCCGGGGAACGGACAGGCATACAGACCAGGAGAACCTACAGGTGGACTCAAAAGGAACCCTGGTGGGTAGTGGCTACAGGTCGGGCCACTAACCACAGGGTCAGCAGTGTGAAATCACCATGGCCCCAGTGGAAGCAAGATGCATCTTCCTACTCCCATAGAGAATCACAGCCTCAGAAACGGATTCGATGCAGTGAGTTGCAGCTGAGAGCGGTAGACTCACACAAGTACAACCCATGGTATCTGACAAAGGAGTAAGAGGAAAGACAGCCTTTTCAACAACTGCTACGAGAGCAAGTGAGGAGCCGTTGGCTAACAGAAACAAAAAGAACCTCGCCTTCGCCTCACACCTATGTAAAAAGCAAACTCAAAGTGGATCAAGACTGAAATGTAAAATGTACAAAAAATAAGCACAAGAGAAAAATCTTTGGGACTCAGGGCTGGCTTAGACAGGACACCAAGAACATAATTCACAAAAGGAACAATGGATAAGCTGGCCTTCATTAAAATAAGAAACTTACCCTGCTAAGACTGTTAGAGATATTTACAAACTGCAGACCCAACAAAGGACTAATAACCAGAACATACAAAGAATTCTCAAAATCCAGGAGTAAAAACCAACAAACAAAACATACACACAATCCAATTAGAAAATGGGATAATTCACCTGTGGGGGTAAATACAGAGTGTAAATAAGCACATACAACGATGGTCAACAGGATTAACTCACTAGGGAAACAGAATTTAAAACCAAATGCGCTACACTATACACTTAGCACCATGGCTCAAACAAAACACTGTGATTCCATCAAATGCCTGGGAAGATGCAGGGGAACAGGATTACTCATGTACTGGTGGTGGGAATGTAGAATGGGACGGCCGTGCTGGGAAAGGTTAGCAGTTTCTTGCAATTATACTCCTGTATCTAAATGGTGATACAGTAACTTTCTCCATCACAGTCCCAAACTGGAAATGGCCCAGATATTGCCCAGTTTTAGAAATAACTCATATAGGGGGATGGTTAAACTGGGAGAAATTCAAAACATGGGACACTAGTTAGGAACCAGCGATCGACACACCAGCCTGAGCGAATTCAGAGAATTCTGCTGAGTAAAAAGCCAATCCTAAAAGACCACGTTAATTCCACTTAGATAACATTCTGGAAATTATAAAATTATAAAAATGAAGAACAGGTGAGTGGTGTGAGGGTCAGGGGGAGGTAGGTGGGTGTGGCTGTAAAAGGGCACCACAAGGGGGGCACTGTGGTGATAGCATTAAGAATCTGGAACCCCAGCAGGATTTTGGTTGTAATGTTACCATGGAGGGAAATGGGTAAAGAGAACCACCTCTCTGTGTGCTTTCTTACAAATCCATGCGAATCTACACTCACCTGAAAATAAATGGGATGATGAAGTATATGTACAATCCCATGCCCTGGTTTTGAGAAAAGCCCTTTGCACACAAATACACAGACTTGGCCCGAGAACCATCGTGCCCCCCCCTCGCTTACCTGCTTCACTTTGACTGTTGAGTGGTGAGGACTTCGGCTTCTCTTGCTCCGTGGAGACTTGCTCCTTCTCCCTGAGGATTTGCTTTTCTTTTTGGCTGGGGACCTTTTCAGAACATGGTACACTTAGGACTTGAACTCAGTTATCACACTACACCTGTGAAGGTCTCCACTAACGACAGAAAGAGAGCCAGAAGCTGCTTCACTTTCTTAACATGTCCCTCCAGTCCCAGACCGACATATGACTCTAGGGTATTCCCACCAGGGCACTTCAACCCTGTCCTGTAAGGTAGCTGAGTTAGAATGGACCAGATGGCAGTGACTTGGTTTAGTCAGGAGTTTCTCAGGGAGCCCTGGTGACACGATGGCTACACACGCAGCTGCTGACCAAAGGAACAGCAGTTTGAACCCACACGCGATTAAGGTGGCCAGTAGGCTTCCATAAAGATTGAGTCTTGGAACCCTGTGGGGCAGTTCTACTGTTCTGATAGGAGTAAAAATGGACTCAATAGCAATGGGGTTGGTTTGGGAACCTTCTCAATTAAATAACAAAAGTCCTGGCGGGGGGTGGGGGTGGGCTAAAGAGGAGCTGATGTCAAGGAGTTTAAGGAGGAAGAATATATTTTGAAACTGATTGTGGTAGCAATTGTACAATACTGCTTGCTGTGATTGAGCCATGGAGCGATATGTGTATTAGCTCCTAATAAAATGGTTTAAGGGGAAAGAATGATAAAACTCTGACTCGCTCTTCACCTAGTTTATGCCATCTGAGTAACTGACACTCTCCAGGCAAAACCTAGAAGTCACTACTGTTTCTTTATTCCCTCTCCACCGCCACTACCACCGCCACGCACACAATTCCATTCAGTCCATGAGCACATCCCTTCCTTCTCTTTCCCATATTCCAGCAATGCCCCTGGATCCTTATACTCCACTCACATGGGCCTATCCCTCCTGTCTAAGGCAGTCACTTAGGCTGCTCACCACAAGGTCAGGCAGTTTGAGACCAGCTGCCCGGAGGGAGAAGGACAAGAACGTTCTACTCTGGTGAAGAATTAGTCTCGGCACCCCACAGGAGCAGTTCTACCCTGCCCTAGAGGGTCGCTGGCGTTGGAATCGGCTTGAAGTGACGGTTTTCAGGGAAATTAGAAAGCAGAAGCTGAAGAGATGCACAAAGACCTTGCTCTAGGGCTGAGAGCAAAAAAATCTGCCCCTAGGTCCCTGGTGCTGTACCGGTTATCCGCAGTTCAAAACCGTCAGCCTCTCTGAGGAAGAGAGACGAGGCTTTCTACTCCAGTAAAAATTTCACCAAAAAGGATATCCAAATGGCCAAAGAGTATATAAAAAATACTCAACATTATAGCCATTACGAAGAGGCAAATTAAAACGGTAATGAGATACACTCTCATGCCTGTTAGAATAATTTTTAAAAAGGAAAAACTACACACAATGGAATACTATTTAGCCAGTAAGAGAAATTTTATATATTCTCCATCTAGAGCAGTGGTTCTCAACCTTCCTAATGCCGCGGCCCTTTCATACAGTTCCTCATGTTGTGGTGACCCCCCCCCCCCAACCATAACATTATTTTCGTTGCCACTTCATCACTGTCATTTTGCTACTGTTATGAATCGGGCAACCCCTGCGAAAGGGTCGTTCGACGCCCAAAGGGGTGGCGACACACAGGTTGTGAACCGCTGTTCTAAACAATGTTGAGTGATCGAGTACATGAATGTGTCCAGCAAGAGGCAGTATTTTATTTTACTTTTTCAGTTTCTACCTGGTAAACTTCCTAGGGCCTCCATGGGGGTAAGCCTTTGGGGCTAGGTCCTTAATTGGAAAGAGATCGCTTGTACATGGCTTGGCTGGCAGACGGAATTATCTCCTGCTTAACTTTAAAACACAATCCATGCTCGCTGCTAGGCCTTACTCTGCTAGGTGCTGGGGGCATCGAGACGAAGGGGGGGGATTCTTCCCCCTGAGCAAGCCCAGGTGCAGGTGCAAAGCTCTACCACCTCCACGATGAAGTCCAAGGTGCTGGGCTCAGCACCCAAGGCCTGATTCTGACCGTGGCCCCGTCCTCCCAGCTCAGGGAACACACTCAAGACCTATGCCAGGCCGCTCGCCCACTTACCGGCTGCCTCCGCGGGTTCGGCTCCCGCGATGCCCCGGGCGGCCCGGCTCGCCAGCGGGCGAGGACGGGCTGTGGCAGGCGTCCGGGCGGCGGTGGGCGGGAGGCTCGGGGTCCGGGGTGATGCGCTCTTGCTTCACCACCACGGCCGCCGCTGCCGCCACCAAGTCCCCGTCCCGGTGCCTGCGCCGGCGCCCCCGCTCCCGCTCGCTCTTCACCTCCTTCATCTCAGGGGCTCGGTGGAGGGAAAGCACAGGTCCGTTGAGCTCAGCTCGTAGAAGGAACTGACGTTTTGACCTCCGGGCTTCCGCTTCCAGGTCTGTGGAATTCCCAGAAACCCTCGCGGGAGCTGTCGGTCACGTGACGGGCTCTCCCCGCCCCTCGGTGGGCGGGGCCTTCGCGACGGACTCCGGCGGCGGGAGTTTCACGTTTCGAAAATTAGCATCTGGGAGAACTGCACTTTCAAGGCTGTCAGTCATAATAAAACACAGAGATAACCTAGGGGTCCAGCGGTAGGGAGCGGTCTAGTCACTCGCTGGCACGGTAGCCCGCGGATGACCTATAATGCTGCTGTGTGCACACGCGATCCAGTTATCCCCTGCTGTCCCCAAGTCCACTCTGAGGAAAGGCCTACAGACTAGCCGACAGACGCCGGAAGAGGATTTCCGCTTTTATGAAAAAAGGTGGAACGTGGAACCAGCATTCAGTGTTGGCGGCACTCGGAGCAGCCGGAGCGGCACCCGCAGTGCCTGCGCGACGGGCCGCTGACCGCCAGGTCAGCACTTCGAGTACCAGCCACTCCGCCGGCGAAAGGTGAGCTTGCTACGCCCACGCCGAGCTGCAGCCTCAGAAGCTCACCGTGGGCACGCCTGCCCTGCCCTGCCCTGGGGTCGCTGCGACTAGGCTCGACTTGACGGCAGTAAGTTTGGTCGGTTTGGGTTTCCCTGGACTACACGGCATTATTTCTACTTAAAAACAAATCATTTTACTGGGAGCGCTTACAGCTAGTATAACAACCCCACAATTCAATTAGATCAAGCATAAGTGTACAATTACTGCCAAGATCATTTTCAGAACATTTTCTTTCTCTTTGAACACTTTGACATCCGCTCCCCTTTATCCCTCCCTCCCCCATCTCCCACGTTTCTTACTTTATATAGGCTGTGTATTTATCAAACATGGGGGGGGGGTTGTTTTGTTTTCAGGTTTTATGTGCTAGGTTTCGATTTGTTAGGTTATTTTTTTTTTCGGTCTGGAAATGCTCAAAATCCCTCAGATACCAATTAGTGACAATTGCTTCTTTGCTTATGTCATTTCCGTTTAGGAACGGGTGCATAGGAACGCTCTATTTTGGGGTCTCGGGGGAAACCCGAATGGCAAATGGAGAAGATCACAGGCTTGTTTAAACTTAGGACAGGATACAAACCTGGGTGCAGACGCCACGTATGTTTAGGGCCGCGTGAAGATAAGGAGGGAATGCACTCACAGTGGACTGTGGACAAATCATTCTTTTTCCTTCCTTCCCAGCACTTTCTGCAGTGCTGACGTATTTCCATTGATTATTAAAGAGACAAAGAGCCCAACAGGAGGAAGCTCCACAGGCCTGCCTTTGGGAATCTTCGCGACGAAGGGGGCACGTCCATTCAAATCGCGAGCACCGTAGAAGCAGCGCAGACTCGAGCCCGGGTTCCGCTGCCTCCCAAAGCCCCGGAGCAACAATGGTGAACTGGAGACGGAAGCTAACCCAGAAGCTCACCAAGCCGAACCTTTGTGGGTCGCTGCGGGGTCTCGCGCTGCTAGTCCCGCCTCACTCCAAAGCCCCGCCCAGATCATGGAGTTGGGAGGGGAGGTTTCCATGGTGACGGCAAACAGGCCCAGACTGAAGGGGCCACTTCTGGGTTACTACCCCTCGTTACCGCCATGATTCCCCCAGCGGACTCTTTGCTCAAATATGACACGCCGGTGTTGGTGAGCCGAAACACCGAGAAACGGACTCCCAAAGTAAGGATGGGTCTGGGAGTGGGGCGGGCCAGGGGAAGCCCGGGAGCTACGAGGAGAAAGGCAGAGCCTCGCTTGAGGGTCGGGAAGCTGCAGGGACAGAGGGTCAGAGGGGATTAGGACGGGGAAGGAGGGAAGGAGGGTGGAGAGAGTACAAGAAACCCAGACTCTGGGTGTGACCTTAGAGGCAAGGTTTAGGATGGGGAAGGACATGACCAGGCGATGATGAGTAGCTGAGGTAGTGACTCCCCCATCACTAGAGGTATGGGGAGGCCTGGTGCTGCAATGGGTTACACTTTGGGTTGCTCACTCACAAGGCCAGCTGTTGGAAACCACTAGTTGCTCAGCCGTGGAGAGAGGAGTAGAGATTTACAGCCTCCGAATCCCACGGGGGCAGTGCTACCCCTGTCCTATGAATCAGAATCAACTCGATGGAGTGCGTTTTTTGAGAGAAGGGTGGAGACAGATGTCTGAGCCCTTGTGCCAGAAGCATTGGGTCAGGATGGGAATAGCTGCAATTCCTGGCCTCTGAGACCTAACCTCGGCTGAAAAGGTGGAAGGTGAAGCTGGGAAGGACAGTGGGGGAAAGAGTGGGCAAGGAGGTGCACTCCGAGGGGCTGGGACGTGTGGATCTGAGTGCCTGAATTACCTCCTAACCTGCCTCCTCTTAGGCTCGGCCACTGAAAGTCAGCCCCCAGCAGCCTGGACCCTCAGGGCCAGTCCCACAGCCACCAAAGACCAAGGTCCCCTCAACATCCTGTGTCCCAGACCCTACAAAGCAGGCGGAAGAAATCTTGAATGCCATTCTGCCCCCAAGGTAAAAAAAGAGCAATGGCTGGGAGAAGACTGAAGTTTGGGGGTCTCAGAATTGGGGGATGTGGGGGAGAGGCAGCATGCTCTAGCCCCTGCTGGAGTCCCTTCCTCCACCGTCCCTGCCCCCACCCCACCCCCAGCATTCCAGAGCTTCTGGAGCTTGCAGGCGACTGAATGGGGAGGGTGGAGAAACCTCTTCTTCATCTACCCTCATTTTCTGCGTGCCCTCACGTAGTCTCATGACTTTCATAGTGGGCTACTCGCTGCGCTGTGGACCCCTAGGTCAACAGTTAGAAACCACCAATTCTCCTTGAGAGAAAAATGAGGCTTTCTACTCCTATAAAAGATTCACAGCCTCAGAAACCCACAGGGGCAGTTCCACTGTCTTATAGGGGCTCTGTGAGTCAGAAAAGGAGGCTCTGGGGATGTACTGGCTACACAGTGGGCTGCCAACTGCCAAGTCAGCAGTCAGAAACCACTAGCTGCTCCCTGAGAGAAAGCCGAGGATGTCCACTCCTGTCGAGAGTTCCACTCTCGGAAACCACCAGGGCACTTCTACTCTGTCCTACAGGGTGGATAGGGGTAGGGTTAACTCGATGGCAGAGTTGGAGCTGAGTCAGAATCCACTGGATGCCAGAGAGTTTGGCTTTGGGATAAGCGAGTAAGAAGTCCTTGTTTGGTGCAAATGACTCACTCCCTCAATGGTATCAGCGGCGAACCAAAATGTTGGAAGTTTGGGCACCGCGGAAGGAAGACCTGGTGATTGACAGCCGGAGGGAGCCTAAGTCAGCTCCGGCACACCGGGGTCACCTTGAGTGAGGTTAACTCAGAGGCAGCTGTGGTGGCAGCATGCTAATGATGAGGCATTGGTGGGTCCGAGGTAAGGGACAATCCTCACCTCCCACGGGGGAAACCTGAATTCAATTCCTATCCAATGTGCCCCATGTGCAGCCAACACTCATTCGTCTTGTGTGTTGCTGGGATGCTGGACAAGTTTCAGTGGTGCATCCAATCCAAGACAGACTAGGAAGAAAGATCTGGTTATAGCGGTCCCCTCTGCAACTGCTAATGTGGACGGTCTAACGAGACTGGACAGCCTTCCCTTCCTTTATGCATGGGCTGCCACGAGTTGGGGGCTGACTCTGTGGCCGAGAAGAGCGGTGACAATATGCTGATGACTCCCAAATGCGTCTTTCCGGCTCCGTTTCCCTCCTAAACTTCAGACCCACGTGTTGTACTTCCGCATCTTCCTGAAGATGCCTCGTAGACATCTCAAGCTCAAAACGTGTTGCAGCTGACTTGCAGTTTCTTCCTTCCTCAACCTGCTCGGCCCCAGTCTAACCCCTTCTCACGAAATCCTAACTCCTTTGGCTAGCCGCCCGGGCTGCCCTTCATTCGTCGTCGTCACTCACAGGGTGGCAAAGGGCAGACGGCCCTTCATCATATGATTTGGCTCTCCCTTCGAATGATGTCCCAAACCTGACCACTTGCTCCGCTACCATCTTGCTCCCCGTCACTGGTTCTCACCCCCGGGACTGAAGTGACTGGCTACCGCAGCGGTTCTCAATCTGTGGGTGGAGACCCCTTTGGGGGTCGAACGTCCCTTTCACAGGGGTTTCCCGATTCATCACAGCAAAATGACAGTGATGAAGTAGCAACGAAAATAATTTTATGGTTGGAGGTCACCACAACAGGAGGAACTGTATGAAAGGGTCACAGCATTAGGAAGGTTGAGAACCACTGGTCTACTTAGAAGTCTTGCTTCCACTCGGCCGTGACAATCTATTCTTCACCCCTAAATCAGAAGTCACACCATCCCAACCTTCTCCCAGAACCCTCTAGTGGCTGCTCATTTCACTTAGGCTAAAATCAAAGCTCCTTACCATGGCCTGGAGGACCTGGCGTGCTCCGGCCCATGGCATTGTGAGGTTTCTCAAATGCGTAACGCCTTGGCTCTTGGCTTTGCATGAGAAAGAATTCACACCGAAGCCTGGTTTGTGATCCGTGTGAGTTTTTATGAGGGGTGGGAGAAGTTTCAGGTTTGCAGTCTCAGGGGTACACGCTATTTCAGGGAAGCGTGCCGAGCTGTTTGGAAGCTGCGCTGGGGCCCACAGCTGGACAGGAGCAAACTCACGGAACAGCATACCACCAGTGAGCCACTGAGGCCAGAGAGAGCGGGCGCTGGGCCAGGGTAAAAGAGAAGAGAGAGGCTGTGGGTCCCGCTGGAATAGGCCCAGCGCAGGTGCATGTGGGTCCCAAGCAAGCCCAGAGTAGGCGCTGAGCAGGGCTCACCCGGGAGGTGCATGTGCGTCTCCTACTTCCACCTGCCCCTGACCAGGAGCGTGATAAAAAGCGCAGAGAAAGGCCTTCCCTCGGGCCAGGGTATTTCACACCTCTGGCTGGGGAGGCCTGGTTGAAGGCATTGGTTGACCCCATTGGCTGAATTAAGCCCACCTGGGCCTAGTTTGGGCCTCCCAGGTGTACTGCCCACCTGGCTGGGGGCTTGAACTGGAGTATGCTCAGTTAGGGGGTCTTCCTAGGTGCCTAAGGGATTCCCTTCCAACCTCCTCTAGGGGGCCTTTGCAGGCATGGGAGGGACAACCCCCTGTCCCCGTCTCTAGCTACCTAACCACATCATGCATCTTATCTCCTCTTACCCTTCTTGTTCACTGTGCTAAAGCCACACGACCTCTGCCAGCCGTTTGTCCTCATTCTCACATTGTCTCCTCACAGAGGACCCTGCCTCCTCATGTTCTCCTCTGTGCCTTGAAGAACCTGTTACGGACTCGAAAACCTTGACCAGGCTCATCTAGTGGGCCCTCGATCAAAGTGTTCAGGAATGGTAGCCGAGCACCATCGATTTCTCCTGGTCACATGGCAAGAGGTTCACAGCGGCGACCACAGGCCAGTTTCTGTTCTGGTTCCTGGACCTCTCGTTCTGTGCTGGTCCAGGTGGAGAGAGATCCAATTGGTGTCCTTTGGGTGGCTGCTCCCAATCCACTTGAGACTCCACTCCGGCCTTATCCTTCTCTGGGCCTGGCCAGTTGCTGTCCCCACCGCCATGGATACACATTGTTTCATGCCGCAGACTGCGATCCCGCAATGTAGTATCACTTATCCAACTTCTACTCTCTCCATTCCTCCTTTTTTCCTTTTGAACTTGGTCCTTGATCTCAAGTGGGTGATTATTCGAAGGTGCGTGCACCTCCCTAGTGTGCGTGTGCCCCTTAGAGCCTCGTCTGTTGCTGGACTGAAAACAGCCGTGAGGGTGAGTGCAGTCCCAGTCCTGAGAGGTGACTCGGGACCCTGGTCTCGGGAGTTCCGCCAATGTCTGTCCGACCAGTAAGCCTGGTCTCTCGTACGACTGTGGGTTTTCTTCCACATCTTTCTCCCACTCTATCCGAGACCTTTCAGAGCAGTTGACAGTGGCAGCCGGGCCATCGCGTTCTCCTGGTCTCAGTCATCGAGGCTGATGTTTGCAGGATCCATTAGTCTTTTTTTTCCCTCCACTTCTATTTGTTTCTTAGTTTTCCTAATTTCCTTTTTTTTTTGGTAAATCATTTTATTAGGGGCTCATACAACTCTTATCACAATCCATACACACATCAATTGTGTAAAGCGCATTTGCACATGGGATCCTTTAGTCTTATCGGCTTAATTATATCCACGTTCTCAGTTGATTTTCCTCACTCTTCTTTGCTCTGGACTGGGAGAGACCAGTAGTTACAGCTTAGTTGGTTGCTGCCTCTATTTATTTCTTTATTATTATTATTTTATCATTTTCTCGGGGGTGGGGGGGGGAGCTCTTACAAATCTTATGACTCCATGATTCAATTGTATTGAGCACACTCGTTGCCATCAACATTTCCAAAACATTTTCTTTCTACTTGAGCCCTTGGTATCAGCTCCTCTTTTTATCCCCTCCCTCCCTGCCTCTATTTCTTCTTTTTTAAATCATTTTATTAGGGGCTCATACAACTCTTATCACAATCCATACACACATCAATTGTGTCAAGCACATTTGTACATTCATTGGCCTCTATTTCTTTACTTGGGTCTGGTTCAATGTCTTGTCTCCAACAAGGCCTTCGTTGACAATAAAAGAGCATGTCCTGGCCAACACGCTCCCCTTGCCCGCTGTCTTCTTCTGGAGCCATAGTGACCGTTGGCTGACACATAGCCACTGGGTTGTAGTCTGTCCCTCCCCCCACTACTGGCATAGAAGTTCCACGAGAATAACGACTTGGCTGTATGCCCAGTCAAGCGTAAGCATTTCAGAAAACATTTGTTGATTCAGAGAATGATGTTGGGACACCTATTTCCAACTGGGGGAGTCCTGCCCATGAAAAGAAATCCCTGCACCAACCCTTACCATACCTTTGGCTTGAGAAAGCTGAACCTCAGCAAATCTCTTCCAGTGATCAGTGCAAATCGGTAAAAGTCTGGTTCCTTTCATAGAAGTCTGATTTATGCTCATCTGCTCCGGATTCATAGTCCCCGAGAGCTCTTCCCAGATCACCGAGATGTGAGAAGAAAGAGGCCGGCAGACCAGTGAGTAGCAGGAGTTTAATGCTCCCATCAGTGGCACAGGGCACCTCTGCTTCACCTGTGATTGGTTATATTCAGTCACGGGGGTGGGATTGTCCTGGCAGGAGTGAGGACCTGGCCACCACTGCCCACTAGTGTTGTGTGCCAAAGCTGACGAGGCAGGGCTGGGCTCCAGAGCCACTCTGTTTGCATTAGGACTCCATGGCCTCATCCACAGGGACCCTTTTAGGCAGGGCGATCTGGGAGCCTTGCACTAGGTTTCTAGTTGGCGGTCGAGGTGGTCTACATTTGGGGATATATATCAACCTTCCCCCACCCCCCTTTTAATATGTTGCATCTTCTCATTCTTTTCTCAATTCCAAACTCTAAACCAGGCCTTACGTTATGTGTTGAGGACACAAAGCTGAAAGACCAATGTAGACCAAACCCTCCCTGCACAGTGCTCAGGACCTGACAGGATGGCCCAGGTCCTGTGGGCGGGCCGGCTGGAACCTGCTGTGAGTTGCCCAGGGAGCAGTGATGCCAGAGGGGCCGTCTGTTTTGTGTTTGGGGGGTGGGGTGGGGAACTAGCAAGGGGGGACAGAAGGTCAGGAAAGAGCTGGCTGTGAAGCTGGGGAAAGGAGCTGATCAGGCAAGTGGGGTGGGGGTGGGGGTCATTCCGGGAAGAGGGGCCTAGAGAGGAAGTGACAGGGAGTAATCCTGCAGGAACTTCGATGGTGAAGGGCACCTGTAGGCCCATTTACCCAAAACCAGACTCGCTGCCATTGAGTCAGTTCTGATCACGGCAACCCTATAGAACAGGGCAGCACTGCCCCTGCGAGTTATCAAGGCCGTAAATCTTTATGGGAGTAGAAAGCCTCATCTTTCTCCCGAGGAGCAATTGCTGGTTTCCAACTCCTGACCCCGAGGTTAGTAGCCCAACGTATCACCACTATGCCACTGGAGCTCCTGTGTCAAATCAGGTAGAGAATCCGTCCCAGGATTAAAAAAGAAAGAAAGAATAAAGTAGGATGGGCTAGAACAGAAGCAGGATCGATGTTTGAAAGAGCACTGCCAAGTAGAGCTCTGTGCCTAAGCTGTGTGTGTGTGTGTGTGTGTGTGTGTGTGTGTGTGTGTGGTCATGGCGTCACCTTTACTTTTCACTGTAGGCCACAGCTAAAATGTGTGACTACTACTGCTGTGGCAATGGGAGTCCTTGGGGAGACTTTTTCAAGACGAGAGTCATCACCCAGTTTGCACTTCAGATAGTATGGAGCGGCTGTATGTGGGGCTATCCATTCCAGAGGGAAGGTGATGAGGTTTTGACTAACAGTTGAGTGAGCCACCCGCGTTTGGGGGACTCCGCCCCTGCGGATAGCTGATGGGCGGTGCTGGCTCAGCAGAGGCCGGCAGGGGGGGCCTGAGCACTGCCAAGCAGACAGCTCTCCAGTGAGCTGGGGACCAGGGCAGCCATTGGCACGCCTGGAGTGACATGTACCCATCAGCATGCCTCGGAGGGTAGCGGGGCAGGCAGACCTTCACACATGACACCTTTTCGACTCTTCTACATGTAATTCCTTGGTGACAGAGTGTGGGCTCAGGTGAGTGGTGGCTAGGTGCTGACAAGGACGACGTCCTGGGGCAGGGGAGAACTGCTCCATGGGGTTTCCAAAGGGGCGGGACCCTTGGGAGCAGATCACCAGGCCAGAGGAAGGGTGGCTTTCTGGCTGGTTCCCTTCCCTCGGTGGCACCAACATCCTCTCCAAGGAGCATCCATCTGAGGCTCTCCTGCCACCGCCATGCCCCACTGGCCAGGACTCACAGCACCCCTTCCAGCTTGCCGCGAGGTCTGAGGTGTCCTTTGTCTGTCACCCCATGAGCCGTTGGGAATGGCCACCACGCCTCCAGCTCCGTGTGCCCTCCGCGCAAGAGGAGGGCAGGATCGGGAAGGGGGCTGATGGGTTCATGGAAGGGCCCTGGGGAGGCAGCCTAGCGGGGGTGACTGGAGCTGGCAGGCTCCTTGCCCACCCGCATAGGCAGGCCGCTCAGAGGGCTTCTCTGCTCTCATCCGGTGGGCCCTCGGGCCAGTGGGTTTCACTCGGCGGGTGCTGTCTGTGCCGCAGGGAGTGGGTGGAAGACACTCAGCTATGGATCCAGCAAGTGTCCAGCACCCCCAGCACCAGGATGGACGTGGTGCACCTCCAGGAGCAGCTGGACCTGAAGCTGCAGCAGCGGCAGGCCCGGGAGACCGGCATCTGCCCCGTGCGCCGGGAGCTCTACTCGCAGTGCTTCGGTGAGTGGACCCCCGACCCCAACCCTCCCTGTTCACACCGATCGATCGCAGCCACGTGGAAGGTCTCCCCTCCCCGTGCTCATTCCCGCACCGGGAACTGCTGAGCACACCCTCTTCACCCTCCTCTATGCTCTGTGTCTCACCCGCCAGGCACGCTCTTTCTGGAAAACCGGGTGCCTCACTGCTTAGCAGATTTGGGAATAAGATCAAATCTCTTGGGTGAAAAAGCATATGAAGGAGCTTCAAAAAGTCTGTGGTCAAATCCCACAATCTTCTCATTCTACTTCTCCACGAACTTTTTGAAGCCCCTTTGTATATTTCCTGTAGCTTGCGTTTTTTATATTGGTGGTTTGCAGAGTTTCTGGAAAAGTACGTGTGAATGCTTTCCTCGGGAAAATAAATGTTCTGCCTTGATGTAGATCCAGGCATTAACATTGGGCCTTCTGTCCAGAAAAATGCAGTAAGGCTTCAAAAAGTGCGAGGAAGAGGAGCAGGAAATGATCACGGGCCCTAATGGGAACCGGGGCTGGCCGCCCTGGCCGGCCGGCTTATAGGCGCAGCAGCACGGGCAGCTCTGCGGAGGTGGTTCTTCCAGCGCACACCGGGGCGCAGTCGTTGCCCAGCTCACTGGGCTTCCACCGCTGGAACCGTTCAGAAGCTGACTGTCCAGGGTGCCTGTCTGTGGGTGCAGATCTCCACCTTTTCAGCAGCTGGTGGGGTGCTCCCCTTCATTTTGCTGCTTATGGACTCCCCAGGGCAAGGCCTAAACCACAGAACCAAGCTCACTGCCATCAGGTGGACCCCTCCCCCTCCCCCCAGGGGAGCGTTGGGTTTGAGGCTGGACAGCTGTATGTAAACAGTCTGCGTTTCTCCCCGAGCAGCTGCTGGTGGGTTTGAACCCCCACTCTTCTGGTCAGCAGCCCAGAGCTTGGTCCTCTGCACCCCCCCCGGGGGGGCGGGGTCCTAGACCCAGGGGCACACAGGACTCCCCAGGTGCTGGGAAAAGGCCACCATCATCCAACCGAGGCGAAATCTTTGAATCGTGCCGTTGCTGCCCGAGGAGGGGAAGGGAGGATGTGCCTGGGTGCCCTGCTGCTCCTGAGGGCCCAGTATAGCCGGTGGTGGCCCTGTGGCTCCCTAGATGCTCCCCTGGAACCCTGCCCCAAGCAGGAGGCCCTCCCGGTAGGAAGGTGGTCCGTGGTGGTCTTGGTGCGCTGCCCGCCCTGACCCAGCTGTGTGCACGGCAGATGAGCTCATCCGAGAAGTCACCATCAACTGTGCAGAGCGGGGGCTGCTGCTGCTTCGGGTGCGTGACGAGATCCGAATGACCGTCGCCGCCTACCAGACCCTGTACGAGAGCAGCGTGGCCTTCGGCATGAGGAAGGCGCTGCAGGCCGAGCAGGGGAAGTCGGACATGGAGAGGAGAGTGAGTGGCCTCCCCAGGAGCCTGTGTCACGGCCAACCCCACCCAGGGTGCGCTCTCCACATCCCCACTCTCATGCCAGCACCAGCTCAGGGAAGCCCCTGGTGACCGACCAGCCACCCAAGTCCACGTGGCTGGTTTCCCCGGGGACGCTCATGCCAGTCACCGATGTAGACTCTAGTAATAGCTTGAGTTGGACAGTTGAACCCACAGCCCCTCCCCACCAGGGAGCCCGCCTGGTGCCGTGCCCGGCTGACGGGCTCCCTGCCCTCAGATTACAGAGCTGGAAACGGAGAAGAGAGACTTGGAGAGGCAAGTGAATGAGCAGAAGGCGAAGTGTGAGGCCACCGAGAAGCGGGAGAGCGAGAGGCGGCAGGTGGAGGAGAAGAAGCACAACGAGGAGATCCAGTTCCTCAAGCGCACCAACCAGCAGCTCAAGGTCAGTCACCCGGGACTCCCATCTGCCAGGGCCCAGAGTCCACACCGGGTCCCTCAGCCTGGCTCTCCAGCGAAGGCTTCTTTCTTGGCCAAGAACAGTTGTCCATCCTCAGGACCAAAGTGGCTCTGCTTCCCCAGCCATAGCTGGGACTTGGGGGTCTTCCTCCTGCGGCCTGGGTCTCCCCACGGGCTCTGTGGACGTGTTATGCCAGTGGCATTTCCTCAGCTCTGTGGCATGGCATTTGAGGCCGTCAGGGGCTTCCCATGTGTGTGCTGAAAGGCACTGTGGCCCTGGCTCTCTGACCAGCTGAGGTGATGGGGGAGTTGGTGTTAAGGGCTGGCAGGCTGGACACCAGACCCCAGGGCCCCTGCAACTCGGGCACTCAAAGGATGGGCCCAGGCCAGCACCCTCCTTCTCACCTGGCAACTGGTAGCAAGACAAATTCTTGAGCCCGCACCGAGCACCGTTGTCTGGGGGTCAGCACTGTTTCAACCAGGCCGCTAGGTGCCTCTGCTGCTGACTGAAGTTCTATTCTATGTAATGGGGTCTGTTGACATTTTCTGGTGCTGGCCAGAAGAGCCCTGGGTGGCCCTCCCTCCTCCCAGGCTGCTGAAGCCCCGGGCCTGTGGGAAGCTCACGTTCTTGAGAATGGCAAGCTTTGGGGCACTAAAGCCAAGGAGCAGAGCACTGGAGGTAAAGAAGGGTTTGTAGTAAGAGGACAGCCTGTCTTGTTGGTGACGCAGTAACAGAACCCTCACAGCCAGGCTCCAGACTGTTTACTTAGCAGTCCCCGGTGCCACTTCCCTTATCTGCCTAGAGTTCCTCCTCTAGTGTCCTCAGTGGTGGCAACAGCACCTTCCAGCCTTTACAAGCTGCCTTGTAGTCCCTGAGGTGTAGGACTTTTTACAAGCGAGTTGTTTTTATTGGCTCAGAGCTGCACTGCAAATAAAGCAGTGTTTGCAGTCTCTGATAGACCTACTTAAACATCAGTGCACACAGTAGGGTAGTAAATTATTTTACTGGCTCTTGCCAGAACAGGGACTCCCAAGTGTCTGAAGCTTTACATACAAGATGGACAGCTCCCTGCTCCCTGGTAGCAATTTTCTCTAATTGGGTGTCAAGTTGTCTGAGTGACCGAAAATGTGCTGTTTCTCAAACCTCTTGTCCCAGCAGAGAACCAAATGTTTAGCTTAGCAGACATACTCAGGCCTGAAATCTGAGCCCTGAAAAACCACCATTTCAACAACTTTGATTCAATTTCCTTTTTCAGGCTTTATATTATACCCTGAGCTGTTATTGTATGGAAACCAGGGCAGCTCTGGTTTCTCCTAACGTAGCCAGCTCACCCGCCAAGGCAGAACCAGCTAATGTAGAAAACGTGGAGTTGGGAACAAAGGGGGGGGGGGGGCTTGGAGTGGCAGCCTTTGGATTCTTCTTCCCAGAGAATTTTTCTCACCTCTCAACTATTCGTTAGGCTGCTAGTTTCAAATATTAATGGAGCTCTTATTTTTATTTTTCAGGCCCAACTGGAAGGCATTATTGCACCAAAGAAGTGATAATTTCCATATGGGTTGACAGAAGGTCTACTCTCCCATCGTAAGCCCTTTGTAATAAAAAGCTAGTTTCACGAGTGAACAAGCCATCTACCCGCCCCTGATCACCACCCACATACTTGTTAGAAGTCAACGCTCTTGCCCCCATGTCGTGAAACAGCTAAGGCCTGGCAGCCAGGCTCCTGGTGGGGCGCCGGAGGTGGTCGCACAGGTTAGTCTCAGTATGCAGCTTGCTTTGGGATTTGCCAACTCAAACGTTTAGGCTGAGAATCAGCCTGTCTGCGGTGCCCTCCCAGCTGAAGCGATGTTTTTTTTACCGCTCCGAACCACCAGATTTCTGGCCAAATGAAACTGCTTCCGCCTTCCTGACTGTTGGGGTCCATAGTTCGTTCTGGACGTTAACTGGGGCTTCACACTAGAGCAGTTAGTGGGATTTGTTCTGGAACTCGGTTTGGTAACGCATGCCACCTGCCAGATCTCCGGGGCCCCTTTCTTTAGGAAAACAATGGCAGAGTCTCGCCTAGGAAAAGTCAATGTTGGCTGCAAAGATAGACAAGTTGGGGTGTCCACTGTCTTTGCACCTCAGATTCCCCTCCAGTTGTAAGGCTCACCCCATCCTGCAGAAGAAAACCAACCTAACCCGAGCACCCCAAACCCCTTTGCAGTTTTAATGATTAACGACCAGGCCATAGACAGCTCCAGTTCTTAAGTTAAACTAGCCCGTCGGTGGCTCAGGCCTGTTCTGGTTTTGTAGACTCTTGACTACTGGCTTGGCAGCAGACATCTCTAATTCAGGGCAGACCAGGGTGGCCCAGGCACCCAGCTGGGTTCCCAACAGTCAGTCAAGTTTCCCAAGCACCATACCATCTGCAGGCACTTTCCTGGAACCCCTCAAGTGGGCAGGGCACCCTTGAGGTGGCCGGAGGGACTTAATCCTCAGCAGAGAGGTCCTC